AGATTTTTAGTAAGTACTCAACAAATACTAAATAAAGGAATCAACATTCAAATGTTGAGGGATCACTAAAAGAATGCATTCAAATCATTCAAATGAGGTTAATTAAATACCCACTATGTGCTAGGTATAGGAAAAGCAAAACTCTGGCAGAAACCATGCCAGATTTCCCAGGTACTTTCCGTGTAATGTTTTATCAATATGCCAAGAAACCTTAATTTCATCTTTGTAATGGAGTATTTTTTTTTAGAGATGTTATTAATTTATTTTAAAGAGGGAAAAACATCTCAAGGAGACTCCCCATCGAGCTTAGAGCCCGACATGGAGCTCCATTTCAGACCCTGAGATCATAACCTGAGCCAAAACCAAGAGTCAGACACCTCAATGGACTGAGTCACCCAGGTGCCCCTGTGATACAATATTTTAATACATTTACTCTTAATGTTTTAATAATCTAGGAATCTTCTATAATAAAGTACTATCTCCTGCACAACTATATTAAAGCACAATAAACCACATTAGGAATAAGTGCTAATAAATGATGGCCAACAAATATATGCAGAACAAGTACTAATAATATTTTACAGCATAATCACAAATATCATACAAATAAATCACAAACCAAAGCAATTGTTTACACATTACTGTACCGTACACTAAGTGTACTACTTATAGTAACTGAAACTACTGTTATCTTTCTAATTCTTTTATCCAAAACTTCCAACATATACACACAGCTTTGATGTCACTTTATGTACTATTATAATCACATTTCAGCTTGTTCATTTAAAGTCTCATCTCAAACATACTATGTTTTTCCACTTATTGAAAGCACAAAACAGTGACAAGGGTTAGTATATTAAAGAATTAAATGTGAGTATCACATACTCTTCTGTGTCATCATTTTTAGTGATACAGTAAGAGCTGCAATGTCTACAATCATCTCAATTTTTGTTCTTTAATCTACCTGTCCTTAATTAACGGGTTGACGTAACCACAAAACAGAAAACTAATGGACTTTGGATATAAGCTTTATTTAAAGATTTTAGTTTTTAAATTTTTATTATTTTTTTTAAATTTACTTGACAGAGAGAGAGAGAGCGCGAGCACAAGCAGGAGGACAGTAGGCAGAGGGAGAGGGAGAAGCAGGCTCCCGTGGGGCAAAGAGCCTGACATGGGGCTTGATCCTAGGACTCTGGGATCATGACCTGAGCCAAAGGCAGACGCTCAACCAACTGAGCCACGCAGGCGCCCTGGATATGAGCTTTAAAAAAAAAAACCGGTGTGTATCTCATTTTTATCTAAATGCCGTTTCATCACATCACCAATTTTCAGAATTTTTAGGAATTTTATAAGATTAGCAGTCCATTAGACATCTCAGAACTCTTTACATAAATTAAATTCCTCCTCCTGTTTTGTTTTCTTTTTTTTTTTCCAGTACATTTCTTTAACATAAAACTTCACACAGGGATCTCTGGGTGGCACAGCGGTTTGGTGCCTGCCTTTGGCCCAGGGCGCGATCCTGGAGACCGGGGATCGAATCCCACATCGGGCTCCCGGTGTATGGAGCCTGCTTCTCCCTCTGCCTATGTCTCTGCCCCTCTCTCTCTCTCTCTCTCTTTGTGACTATCATAAATAAATAAAAATTAAAAAAAAAATTCACACAATTAAGAATATTCTCTTTAAGCAATGGTCTTCCCAACCAATCTTCTCATTTTGTTTCTATATTGTTTTAATATTTTATACGAAAAATACAGTACTATTGTAGTAGTAAAAAGACTTTTGCACTGGTTATCCCTAAAGACAGTGCATGGTAATGGTCAAGTAAATGATACAAAATGGCTAATAGGAGTTACGAAAATTTTGGAAGTTGAAAAAAGGGAAGAGGACTTTCAGCATTCAAAAACTAAAGCAGGGGATCCCTGGGTGGCGCAGCGGTTTAGCGCCTGCCTTTGGCCCAGGGCGCGATCCTGGAGACCCGGGATCGAATCCCACATCGGGCTCCCGGTGCATGGAGCCTGCTTCTCCCTCTGCCTGTGTCTCTGCCTCTCTCTCTCTCTCTCTATCATAAATAAAAATAAATAAATAAATAAATAAATAAAAAACAAAAACTAAAGCAAACACAAACAATTTAAAAACAAATTCCACTGCTTTCCCCACTTTGTACATCTCCTACTCTGTAGCTTTTGAGCGACTAGGTCAATAAGGCTCCCAGAATACCTACCGCATCCCACATGTACCTGTACTCCTGTGCTGCCACTCAAAGACCACTAAACATATACACGTTAAAGGAATCACTCCCAAGATTCCTCTTATCTCAGTCTTTTCTTGCTCATTCCTTTTTGCTCCTGCTCATCTCAAGCTCATGAGAGTTTCTATACTGGCCACTTCAAGTTGCTTAATTTTCTTTAGTTCCTTCTAGGTAAAAATCAAACAAGGAGAAACGTTTGAGTAGCCAAAATCGAGGTCTCAGAGAGCAAAAACTATTCATTTTATGTGGATCTCCCTACAGGTCTCACTAAAATCCTATTTTCTCCCCTTTATTTTAGAAATATCTAATATCCTTGGTTACTTAGTTTCACAACAAATTAGAAACAAGACACCTAGATTCTTCCCATATTAATATAACTTTCATTGTTTCTTTTCTTACAGGAATTTTACCTAAAATATAAAAAATGGATATTAAAAAAAAACCCACTGTAAACATTTCTGAAATTTAAATCTGTTAAAATGAAATCCTACAAGGGGTGCCAGGCTAGCTCAGTGGGTGGAGTGCAGGATTCTTGATCTCGGGGTTGTAAGTTCGATCCCCATGCTGGGTGTACACATTACTTAAAAATAAAATCTTAAAAAAAAAAAAAAGGAAATCCTACAAGTCATTTTAATGTAAATGCCCCATACCTCACTGATGAAATGTTTTTATTTCTTGCTCCAGACTAACAACTTTAGTTTTTATACTTAGTTACTACAATATATTTAGACAAATAGCAGCAAAAAGCTGAAAAAGCCACTCTCTGTAACAATGATCTTTCTGAAAACACACTTTTAGAAGTATATTCATAAATCATTTAGCTCAAGACATTCCTTGGAAATAAACTGGTAAACAGCAAATAGAATTAAGAGTATATCACAAACACAATATTGGCTCTAAGATAGTCAATGCACAACTTGCCTAAAGAGCTATACAAGTATCACAGAAGATTCAGTGGAGCTGTAGAAAGTCACTGCGTAACTTCCATAAACCCACAGGTATTTACAAAAGCCTCCTTTAGGTTTCAATAATTCTGGAGTTAATTCTGAATGTCATAAACTGGTGAAGTTCCTGTTGCACCGATATTACTGCAAAGAACCAAAGTCAAACTGACTTTTCGTGAAAAGTTTTGTCTGAAAACACTAATCATGACAGCTGTGCTTTAAACTTCCATCCTTTAGCTTATTATTAGTACACCCTCAGCAATAAAGAAAAATTCAACACGATGTCAGTAACATCAATCTACGGGTGTTGTCAATTCTGAGGACACTGAAAAGTTTCTCATTTATCACTACTAACTCCTGCACCTTTAAGAACTTACCATAAAGCATACTTTTACACATTCTTGCAGTAGAATCATTCCATGCCAGAGTTCCAAAAAAGATTGGGAACTACGTTTTCTTAAATAACTGAAGATGCACAAAACTTCAAATTAAATGAGACAGGTAAACCTCACCCAAAGAGTACAGTGTTCCTTAAGGGCTGCTTTCATTTACTGGCCACCAATTAAATACCATTTAACCCTCCCATCTCTGAAAGGCAGGTAGGTAACAAGTCACAGAGGCACAAATGCAACTGGTCTAGTGAACGCCAGGACCCTTGATCTCCACCCAAAACACGACCAACTGTCTCTTCTAAAATACAGACGGGCAGGAAAGAGCTGGTTTAAACTTAACATGACAATCTTAACGGCGTACAGAACCACGATCCCAAAACAAAAGCAGATTTACAGCGGCGGCCCACTGAGATTCTTGGCATGACGTCGTACTGGCTTCAACACTGTGGCTTTTTTGCAGTCACAACTACACAAGATGGCATTAAAAGTCCACCACGTGGACTTCGGAGGTCTTCGAGGGTTTCCCTACGGACGACATTCCAAGTTTTTATTCTCCTTTTTTCTTTCTTTTTTTTTTTTTTTCCCCTCCCCTGAAATGTCAACCATTCGGGGGCTGGAGGAAAAAAAAAAAAAAAAAAAAAAAGAGTGCAGGGTTTCCTCCAGTACCCTACATTGACGAGACTTCTAACACGGGTAGTTATTATTACTCGGGAGTTGAGCGTGAGCCTGGATTTGAAGGGCTCTAGCGCACACGCGCGCGCACACACACACACGCGCACACACACGCACACACACACACACGCACACACACACACACGCACACACACACACACGCACACACACACACACACGTCTTCACCACCAAGGAGGCCTCGAAAAGTGTGCGATCTGCGTGCGGGTGTGGGCTCGGCGGCGGGGGAGCTGCGGCTCACACGCGCGGTCCGACAGGCTCTCTCCATGCAAATAAAAGGGTCACCGGTTGTGGGGAGCAGGGCGCGGGGGAGGGGGGCAAAGGACCGAGTCCCCCGCCCCTGCGCGGCGCACGGAACCCGACGGAACCCGTATCTGTACCTCACAGCTCATCCCGTCCGGCGGCCACCTCCAGACGTTCGCGCCCTAACCGGGGCCACGCAGGGCTGGGGGACGGCGCCTGGCACCTCGGGCGGCTCGGCTCGGGCCCCGCACCTCAGGCCCGGAGAGGCCGGCTGCACCCCCATCCCCGAGGCGGCCCGCGCCCCCTCCCCCAGCGCCCAGGCCCAGGCCCAGGCCCAGGCCCAGGCCCTCCGGTGCCCCGCGGCCGTGCGCCCCACAAAGCCGGCGGCCGACTCCGAGGCCCCGGCGGGCCGCACGCCGCGGGGAGCCGGGCCCGCGCCCCTCGCGCGCCCCCGCCCCTCGCGCGCCCCCCGCCGCTCGCACCGTCTCGTCGGGGTCGATGTCGATCTTGAAGGTCTGCTGCTGGAGGGTCTTGAGCGTGACCAGCATGGTGCCGGCGCGCAGCTGGGCCGCCGGGCCTGCTCCGGGCGCGGGCCGCTGGGCGGGGTCTGTGGCCTGGCGGGGCCCCGGGGTCGCTCCTCGCGCTCCCGGGAGGAAGGCGGTGGCGGTGGGGGGTGGGGAGGTGGGGAGGGGGGAGGGGGCTTGTCACCTCCGCCCCGCCGAGCGGCCTCTCCCCCGGCCCCGCGCCCGGGCCGCGCCGCTCCCTCCGCGACTGCCGCCTTCCCCGCGAGCTCGGGCCGCCGTGCTTCCTCACGCGCCGGGCGCCGGCCACCGAGTCCGCGGGACGCACGAGCGGGCTGTGCGAGCCGAGCAGAGAGAGAATCCGCTACCTCACCGCAGGCCGGCGGCCGCCATCAACGTGACTCGCCGAGACGCGCCCCCTCCCCCACCCGAAAAAAAAAAAAAAAATCTGGGGGCGGGGGGTGGGGGGGAATGGGGGCCGGGCCGACCGAGCGCGCAGGCGCAGGGTGCGGCGAGGCGGTGCGCAGGCGCGGCGGAGAACCCCGCCCCGGAAGTGGGGCGGGGCGGACCGCGGCTCCGGAATGTCGGCGGCCTGGGGCCGGCCGTGCGCAGGCGCAGTCCGGGGGGCGTCGCGAGGGCTCGGGCTCGGGCGGCGTCTGCGCCCGGGGCGCGCTCCCGCCCGCCGCGGCGCTCCGCCTACGGCCCGGCTCCTCCCGGCTGCCGGAGTTGCGCAATCCGTAGCCGGGGAAGCGCTACGTGGAGACCGCGCTAAGTGGAGGCCGGAGTCTGGAGGTGGGGAGCTGGAGGGCGGTAGGTTGGGGCGGGGTTTAGGCGGAAGGCTCCGGGCTGCGCGGTGCCGGGCCGGCGGGCTGGCGGGGCGCTGGCCGCGCGGGTGGGCCTCCGTGGTGGCGGCTGTGATGCCGGGCCCCGGGCCTGCAGACCCCCGGCGCCCGACCGCCCGGGCGCACCGCGGGCCTAGGGAGGAGCACGGGTGCAGGAGGTCACGTTCTCGCGCTGCCCCGTGGACAGAACTGCCCGCCGGCCCCTGTCCCCCGAGAAGTAGTAGAAGGTCACGGTTGCGGCGACTGGATGCACAGCCCCCGCCTCTCCGCGCATCTCCTCCCGCCTGACCCGGGCGCCCGGGGCTGCAGGTGGGGCCCAGGCCCTTGCCCCCGCCCGAGGGACCTGCCTTTGCAGTCGCTGTGCCCGCTCCCGGGTCCTCCGGGCCCGCAGGACTCACTGGCCTGGGGGCTCACTGTCTCGCCTCCTTCAGATCTTGGCTCTAAAGGGCACTTGCTCCGTGAAGTCGGCGCCGACCCTCGGCTCAATAAACCCGCAGCTTCCTCAGCTCCGTGAGCTCCGTGGCATTTACCATCTTCCAGTTACCGCACGATATGCATATTTATCTGCCATCTCTCTTTTCTTTCTTTTTTAAAGATTTTAGTTATTTATGAGACACAGAGAGGCAGAGGGAGCAGCAGGCTCTCTGCGGGGAGCCGGATGTGGGACTCGGTCCCAGGACCACCCCCTCCTCTCCGGGATCACGGCCTGAGCTGAGGGCAGATGCACAACCGCTGAGCCACCCAGGGGCCCCAAATCCAGAATTTTAACCCAAAGCGCAATGACTCCAGATGCATGTGCTCCCAGGTGCTGGGCTGTTCTGCCTCTTAATAAGGTACCATGTGGCACATTTGACATAAGATGGGTCCAGTATAAAGGAACGTGACAGATCACTACCCACGTGACCAATCGCAGACTGCGGCTCTGTGCCTTCACCCTGATACAGTGTCACTGCTTCGTTTCTCCCGGATTTGAGAGCTCAGATATAATTCTTCCATGGGTCGTTCCTGACCAACTTCCCTCTCCACTAACCTGGCATTTCCCCTTTCACTGCGCCCGTGTGTCCCTGTATTGTAATTGTCTAATCCTCTGTCTTCTGTATTCCTTTACGTCTCCTGTTAGTCACCGCATGATCTCATCTTGTCTTTGGTTTTGAAATACCTCCAGCCTGGACCTGTCCCCTTGGCTGTAGACAGAGTTAGCCGGTTGCCCACACTGTACCTTCACTTAGAGCATATCAAGCATCTGAAGCCTGTCACAGCCCAACAGAACCATTTTTCTCTGGACCTCTCTTCCCCATGAAACCTGTCCCTCTACCATCACCACCCCTCCCTCCCCCACCTTTTAGTTCCCGGCACCACCATCTAGCCAGGTGTTCAGCCCAAGCATCCAGTCAGCATCCCTGGTAAATATTTCCTTTTCCTAGTTCCTCACCTACCACATGTAACCCATTATCAAGTCCTGTCAACTTTATTCTCCAGATTATATTCCAAATTCAGCCATTTTCACCATTTCTAATTATCTGACCCTCGGCTAACTGATCCATCGGTATCCTGCACCTGCCTCCCAACTGGTGTCTCTGCTTCTTTTCTCCCAGCAGCCTCCCCAGCAGGCAGAGTAGTCTTTTACAACCTATAATGTGACCTATCATGTGACATGATAAATCATGTCACATCTATTCTTAATACCTAATTACACTTAAGAATACAGTTCAAACTCTTTACCTGGCTTTGAAGAGGTCACATGATCTGACTCCTGCCAAATTCTCTGGCTTCATCTTTTTTCTTCTCTCTCCCTTTCATTCACTGTCATCCCTCTGAACCTCATTTCCTTTTTTTTTTTTTTTTTAAAGATTTTATTTATTTATTCATGAGAGACAGAGAGAGAGAGGCAGAGACATAGGGAGAGAAGCAGGCTCCATGCAGGGAGCCCGACGTGGGACTTGATCCTAGGACTTGATCCTGGGACTCCATCCTGGGACTCCATCCTGGGACTCCAGATCACACCCTGGACCAAAGGCAGGTGCTTAGCCACTGAGCCACCCAGGCCGTCCTCCTCACTTCCTTTCATGCCTCAAACAGGCTGAGCTGGTTGTAACCTCTGGGACTTTGCAATTGAGGTTACATCAGCTTAAAACTCTGTCTTTCTGCATCTTTGAATAGCTAACACCTTTTCATCATTCTGATCCCAGGTCACATTTTATTCCCTTAGGACTTCTTCAACAAGTGCAATGATAAAAAATAAATATTAACTGTTTAGGTGAGGCACTATCCACTTTATGTGGATGATCCCATTTGAGTCCCCACAAAAGGTACAAGATCATCTTGGCTTAAATTTTTTCATGGATCTACTTGAAATTATTATTTTTCAGCTTGCTTATGGTCTATCTCACATTACTACTCACTTCCCATGTCTGCTTTTTGGACAGAGGAACTCACTTGCGTTATTCACAGCTCTTTCCCAAGCACCTCGGTCAGTGCCTGGAACGCAGGTGCTCAGTAGTTTATGTTGACCGAATCCCAACTCAGCTGTAAGCTCCACGAAGCCAGGTGTTGTGTCAGTCTTGTTAAGAATGGCATCTTTAGAGTGTGAATGCTCAATATATTTTGGCTGAAAAAATGGTGAAGTTACTTTAATCACAATTAATTTAGTTGAAATTTAAGCAGTTGTAAGAAACTTAATCTGAAACCGTTTTATAATTTATTATAGTTTGATTATAAATATGTTAGAATGTATTAGAATTCATTTTTATTACAATATTAGATATATTTATTATACCTTTATTATACTTATTTGTTATAATAAACCTTTCTGCTACAACTGCTATTATCTAGCAACAAAAAAAGGGAGGTGAGAGATGCCTTTTCATATTTTAGTGTATATTTTTTAAAATACCTTTTGCTCATAGCAAAATAATCAGCATAGAAAGGGATTCATTGAAAATAAATCCCCTTGTCCCCTTCCTAGAAATAATTGTTTTGAATGTCTTTAGACATCTTTTAGATATATACTAGAATATATCCTCCCAGATAGTTGTGGCAATGGTAGATTTTTTTTTTTTTAAGATTTATTTATTTATTCATGAGAGACACAGAGAGAGGCAGAGACACAGGCAGAGGGAGAAGCAGGCTCCCCACAGGAAGCCCGATGTGAGACTTGATCCTGGATCCCAGGATCAGGCCCTGAGCCAAAGGCAGACGCTCAACCCCTGAGCCACCCAGGCATCCCAAGCAACAGTAGATTTTTTTTTTAATTTTTATTTATTTACGATAGTCACAGAGAGAGAGAGAGAGAGAGAGAGAGAGAGGCAGAGACACAGGCAGAGGGAGAAGCAGGCTCCATGCCGGGAGCCCGACGTGGGATTCGATCCCGGGTCTCCAGGATCGCGCCCTGGGCCAAAGGCAGGCGCCAAACCGCTGCGCCACCCAGGGATCCCGCAACAGTAGATTTTAAATGCCAATTGAAAGATTCACCTGACACACTTTTTAAAGTACAGTATTTAAATAAAAAGTTGTTTTTTTGTTTTCTTTTAATTTCTGAAAAAACTATATATAGATAGATATAGCCAGATATAACCAATAGCTCAGGTTGGACAGGCCAAATGCCTCCTTGTTAGATGTAGTTGCCTTTACCCAGAGTCCCACAGTTTATATAACAGATGATGGGACTCCACCCCCCCACACACCCCTCCCGATACAAAGGCCACTGAGATGAGAATGCTTGTGAGCAAGGCCTTGTAGGATAGGCCTTGGGCTTCTCCAAGAGCTATTAGGCCAAGATAAAAAGATGGTGGGAGTTGTTGATTCCAAATACTTGGGAACAAGCCAGGTAATTTTTCTTGCATTTTTGGAAGTCAGTCAAATGATTTCAGGGAAGAAAATGAGCAAGCCAAGATGCCGCAACTGCTGACTTAGAAAATACTAGGGCAAAAATGCCAGAATTCAAGCCATTCATTCAACAAATCATTACTGAGACTCTCCATGCCAGGAACAGTTCTGGATGCTGGGGATACAATAGGGATCAAAACAAAGTCCCCGGGGAGTTTATATTCTCCTGGGATAGTAGATAAATTGATAATGAACTAAAAAGCAAAGATATTTTTAATCTATGAGGTGATAAGTGCTGTTTTTTAAAAAAGCACATGAAGAGCATCAGCAGTGCTCAGAAAAAAATAGAGTTGGTACAGAGAATGTGCCAGATATTCTTCATTCTTTTCCCCATCATTCTTCCCTCTTCGTTGCCCAGCAGTTGGTTGTAAGGAGGCTGACCTATGAACTACCACGACTGGCTTCCTGGGGAATCCCTTCAGGAGACAGGTGTGAGCAAAGAGAGTGAAGTTAGGGATTTATTCTTTGTGGTTGGTAGTGCTCTTGCTACAAGGCTGTATGGTGCTCCTCCAGGGGCAGAAATATACCCAGTGGGTCACTGGGGTTGGCAGATGGGACCACTCCTGTTTTCCTGCCTTCGTTCCTGGGCCCAACTGGTCTTCCTACTGGGAACAGAATGCCCTATAGGGTTCTCTGATTTCGTGTGTAGATTGCATCCTGGAGAATGAGATCCTCCTGCATAGTATTGCCTCTGAGATGGTACTTTAG